GGAGTCTGGATCGAATTGAACCGATACATCTCTGTGACAAACCAGTGTAATACCTGTGATGATAGAATCTGAGGCAACAACCTTGGTACGGGCAGGAAGGGCATAGTATCTGTCCTGGCCTCCCCCTCTAGGGAGACCTCTACCTCCCCGACCTCCACCTCTAGCTGGCTGAGCAGGTGGGGTAGCAACTGGAGCAATAACCACAACCTGAGAACTCTGCGGGGCACACAGCGGCTGAGAAGTCTGTGGAGGTGCACCCCTCCCAAGTCTGGGGCAATCCCTCACCATATGGTGTGTGTCACCATACTCAAAACAAGCTTTGGGAGGACGTGGTGGCTATGACTAGCTCAAGCAAGGTCTGCTAGACTGACCTCTGAAAGCACCCCGCGCAGGAGGCGCGCTAGAAACTGGAGGTGCATAATAAGGCTCCTGAGGCCTAGGAGGAGCTGGAATACCACTGGCTGCTGGAAGAGCTGAATAAACAAGACGACTTATATAACCCCTACCATGACGACCTGCAGCTGGGTCACAGGCACCAGAATAATGGCCCGACTCTCGAGACCTCTTGGCCTCCCGCTCCTATCTCTCCCAAGCATGCATACCCTCAATCCTCCTAGCAATACTCACCACCTGCTGATAAGAAATATCCATCTCCAACTCACGAGCCATGCTCGATCTGATGTTGGGAATAAGGCCCTCAATAAACCGGCAGACCCTCTCGTAAATAGTAGAAACCAAGGCTGGTGCATGCCTAGCCAAACTAGTGTAACAGACTGCATACTCTGATTCAGTCATAGTACCCTGGCGCAAATGCTTAAACTCTACGCGCCATGCGTCCCTGAGGCTCTAAGAAACATACTCTCTCTAGAACAAATTTGAAAACTGAGTCCAAGTCAGTGAAGCAGCCTCATTTGGACTGTCTAACTAATAGGTGTGCCACCACTCATAGGAGGCTCCTCGAAGCTAGAAAGTAGTGAAGGAAAACCCGCTCAATCCTGATATACCCATGGTACAGAGTATGCTGTAACACTCATCCAGAAATCCCAGAGCATCATCCGATGCTAGACCACTGAATACAGGAGGCTTGTACTTCTTGAATCTCTCAAGCCTCAGCTGATCATCCTCGAAAGTCGTTGCCCTATCCTCGGGCTGATCTCGGACTGTAGGCTGTATAGGAATAATCTTAGGGACCTGCTCAGCATGCACTCACTGCTCAGGAGTGCGGGCGGCGGGAGTCTGTGCTCCTCCCCCGGCTAGAAATGTAGTTGCAGCAACGGGATGCAACCCTGCCTGAGCCAAAGTGGTGTACATGCTTATGAACTGTGCCAGAGTCTCCTAAAGTACTGGAATAGTAGTAGCAGTAGGCATATCAGGTGCCTGGACTCCGGCTGGATCTACTGGTGGTACCTCAGTGGCAGCTCGCGCATGTACTCTGGCTGCACCACGTGCGCGTCCTCAGCCTCTACCCCGGCCCCGACCTCTGACGGCTGCAGTGTGGGGAGCAGGTGCCTGATCATCTCGGATAGCACGTGTCCTCACCATCTGTGAGAGAATAGAAGACAGAAGTTTAGAATTGTGATGTCAAAATATCGCACAACAAGGAAATCAAACGAAGTGGAATTTTCCTAACAGTTACAAAGCCTCTCGTAGATAAGTACAGACGTCTCTATACCGATCAGTGAGACTCTAATAAATTGGCTTGTGATCCATGACTCCTATGAACCTAGAGCTCTGATACCAACTTGTCACGACCCCAGTTCGCCCTCCGTGAACTATCATGACGGCACCTAGTCTCTACAACTAGGTAAGCCTAACAATGCGAAAAAATAACCAAAAACTTGCGGAAGAAATAATTAAAAGCCTAAATAACCGAACCAAACAGTATTAAAAATGTCGCTCGGCATATACAATACAACTTCTCAAAACTAATACACTTTCCTAAAACCCGGAATCTCATGAAACCACAAGCGTTTGAATATTTAACAGTGTCTAACTCCAGAATGTCTAACAAATAAAAGAAATACAGAAGGACTAATACTTAAAAGCGAGAATATAAAGGGACTCCTCGGTCTGCGAACGCGGCAGATATACCTTGAAGTCTTTGGAGGAGTCGCCTCGCCTCAGGGGTGGTAGGACTAAGTCGAAGTACTTGGATCTGCATATGAAAAAAAACATGCACAGAAAGGGCATGAGTACACCACAATAGTACTTAGTAAGTGCCAAGCCTAACCTCGGTCGGGTAGTGACGAGGAAGGTCAGGACCCTATTAAGGTCAAATAAAATATAAAGTTCGACAATGTAGAATAAAACAGTATAATTAAGTGTAGTAGTAAAAGTAACACAAGATATAAAAGGGCAACAACAACTATTACAGATGCAAGGTAAACACAGAAAGAAATACGACTCAGCACCAAAATAACAATCGGGGATCTCCCAGGATACCGTCCTGTAGTCCCAAATATACATATCCAATGGATCTCCTGGGATCCCGTCCTGTAGTCCAACTCATAGTGCGCGGGGATCTACCGGAATCCCGTTCCGTAATCCCAAATGTAAATACCCAGTACTGGGGGAATCTACCGGGTGCATTCCCGTAGTTCCATAATAACTGTGCAGGGGGATCTACCGGAATCCCAAATCCGTAGTCCCAAATGTAAACAGACAAGGGGGAGCTACCGAAATTTCACATCCGCAGTCCCAATGTAAATACACAGCAGAAATAGGAAAATACTCAAAAATGTCAAATTCCATAATAAGGCAAACAAGTAAGTCTAGCCTAGCATGCTGCACAGAATTCAGGTAAAGTAGTTTGAGCAAATAAAGCAATTAAATCACTTAGACATGCTTTCCTAAGCTAACAACAGGTTTAATAGTGCAAGTAATAAAAGCATGAAAGGAAACATACTGGTAATTACTTAATGAAAAATCAAATTTTCAACAATTAGCACAAATATGCACTCGTCACCTTACATACAAGGCTTTTCAATTAATAATAATACCAAATCCTAAGGGGAAGGTCCCCCACACAAGGTTAAGCAAGCCACTTACCTCGAACCAGCTCAAAATCAACCCGAAACCACGTCTTTGCCACGAGCACTCGACTCCAAATGGCCCAAATCTATTCAATTCAATTGCATAATGTAAATAACACTTCAAGTAACTGATTCTATAATTAAATTCTAAGCTAATACATGAAATTAGGTAAAATGACCAAAACGCCCTCGGGTCCACGTCTTAGAATCGGGTAAAATTTACATTTTTAGAATTCTCACATTCTCACGAGTTCAGTCATACCAAAAGTACCAAAATTGGACCTCAATTGGTCCCTCAAATACCCATTTTAAGGTCTCTTAATCTCAAGCCATAACTAGCCATTTTTTCCCAAATTTTTCACCACTAATTAGGTCTTTAATCACATATAAACGAGTTATGACGTCAAAAATATTACCTCTAAGTGATTACCCTTTGGTTCCCTCAAAAATCACCTTCAAAAGATTCAATCCCGTTCAAAAATGGTGGAAGAATGAAGAAGGGTCGCGAATGGCTATTGAAATACTGCCCAGGTATTCCTTCTTCGCGAACACGGAAGGACCCTCGCGTTCGCGAAGCACAATTACACTTGGGCCCAGATTTCTTCATCGCGAACGTGATGCCCAAGTCGCGAAAGAGATTCAAAACTTCCTCCTCCTACGCGAACGCGGGACAGCCATCGCGAACGCGTAGGTATAGAACTCCCAGCTTCGCGAATGCGAAGCATAATTTCCTCACCAGCCCCAGATCCTCTTCGCGAATGTAAGACCCCACTCGCGAACGCGAAGAAGGAAACCAGAACTGACTGCTGCAACATTTTCTGCAATTTTCTAAGTTCCAAAAATGGCCCGTTGAGCATCCGAAACACACCCGAGGCCCCGGGACCTCAACCAAACCTACCAACATATCCCATAACATCATTCAAACTTGTTTCAACCTTTGGAACGCTCAAGACAACATCAAAACACCAATTTAGTATCGGATTCAAGCCTAACAACTTCAAAACTCTAAAAATATGCTTTTGATCAAAAAGTCTATCAAACCTCGTCCGAATGACCTAAAATTTTGCGCACACACCACGTTCAACATTACGGAGCTACTCCAACTTCCGGAATTCAATTCTGACCCTCGGATCAAAATCTCACTATCGAATCGGAAACTTCAAAAATTCAACTTTCGGCATTTCAATAAATTAGCTACGGACCTCCAAAACACAATCCGAATACGCCCCTAAACCCGAAATCACCCAACGGAGCTAACGAAACTATCAGAATTCCATTCCGAGGCCGTCTTTATACTGTTCCGACTACGGTCAAATTTCCCAAACTTAAGCTCTCATTTAGGGATTAAGTGTCCCAAAACTCCCCGAAACTCAAAATCGAACATCCCAGCAAATCAAAATAGCAGAAATAAATACGAAAAAGTATTTAGTAGGGATCAGGACATTAGTTCTTAAGACGACCGGCCGGGTCGTCACAAAAAGTCAACGTTTGTGTGTAATGGTTTTAGATGATGCAAGGTTTCCAGCTAGTTGATAAAAGAAGCACGTTCGACTATTGTAGTATAACATAGGAGATTAAAGATAATAATCATGCTCTCAACGTAATTAAGCACTATTACCACTTACCATAGAGAACTAAAAATTAAGGATGTTGGAACAGTTATTTTATTAAGCACTAAGTATAATCAAATTTAATAACCCTCTAAGGCTATCAAAACAGCTCTAAATTCATGAACATATAATCTGATAAGTACTAAGCTACCATTACCATAACCATGCAATATTAAAACCTTCATCTCCTAACTTTCCACAGTGATTAGCATTATAGGAAATGGTTGTAGATTTTAAGTTTGGTACAAAAACCCTAAAATGGAGCCGCCATACATCACACCACTTAGCTCAAAATTGTATTTTATATTTGTTAGTCATCTATTAATTATGATTATAAATTAGGGTTCGAGTTCGTTAACATGCATTCACATCATCTTAAGATAAAAAATCCGGTCGTTACTGATTGTAAACCATGAAGAAATCTTGCAACTTTCTTTTTTATTTTCAAGTTTTAACTTTCTTGATCTTGTTTATAGCTGTGGATTCTCAGCTAACAACTGATTTCTACTCTAAAACATGTCCAAATGTCCTTAAGGTTGTTCGTAAAGAAGTTCAGAATGCTATCAAGAATGAAATGAGAATGGCTGCTTCTTTGCTTCGTCTTCATTTCCACGATTGCTTCGTTAGTGTGAGTTTTAAATACTTTTTTTAGTAATTACTCATCCTGTTAAACTTCTAAATAAGTTTTACTTATTTAGTTTTAAGTTGAAAAAAAAAAGACCTAAAAGTATGCCAAATAGGATAATATTGTGTGTGCATGCACACTAATGCCTTTCCAACCGGTTTTATTTCATTTTTGTTATTATTGGCTTAAAAAACTATTTTGTTATCTCAATCGCCGGTCCTTTTTATATGTCGGTTTAGTATTGACATGCTCACTAAAAAAAAAATTTTGATAGCAGTAATCATAATGGATATTTTACGAAGTTATCCTCATTTCTTCCTTAAATGAGTAATTAATGACTATAGGCCTTTTTGGTAAGAGTTGAATTGTCAAGAAAATTACTGCTTTCTTGACTTTCTAAAGTGATAAATAATGTTTTGTAACATTTTTTGGCTAAATTGACACACACATACACACTAGTTCTTCTAGCTAGTTTGTCATGCACTAGTTCCTCTAGCTAGTTGTAAGCAGGGGCGGAAGGGTTCCGAACCCTTGGCCGGAAAATTATATCGTATATATAAAGCAAATATCTTATTGACACAGGTCAAAAGCATAGCTCAGTAGGGTTTAAAATCTTTGTGAGGTTACTGGTTCAATTTTTACTTACCACAACTTTTTAAAAAATTTAACTTTTTTTTGAACTCCCTTAGGGAAAATCCTACCTCTGCCACAGGTTGTAAGTTCTCTTATTTGTTTTTAATTGGGGGTCCCTAATCTTCTTTGTCTAATATTGTAATTTAGTGTTCAGAATTTTTAGGTTAACCTTTACAAAGAAAGGTTAAAAATCATTATGATATATCACTTAAATTTTATTGGATTTGTAGGGTTGTGATGCATCACTATTATTGGATGGAAATAGTACGACAAGTGAGAAGTTCACACCAGCCAACTTGAACTCAGCAAGGGGTTTTGAAGTCATAGACAATATTAAAACTGCTGTCGAAAATGCATGCAGTGGAGTTGTTTCTTGTGCTGATATTTTAGCTATTGCTGCAAGAGATTCAGTTCTACTGGTTAGCTCCTAAATCCTAATCATGTTGCTCAGACTCTCAAAAATGTTATCGGTTGTGTGTCTGTTTTCTCAAAAGTAGTGCATTTTTTTAATACTACGCGTATGCGGTAGCAATTTTAGAACGTCCAAGCAATATAGATCCAAACGTTCTTTAATACAAGAAAAACTAAATTTTTATATATCAATGTATTTTAACATGTTATAACAAAATTTGTCTTATTTTTCAGATTAATAATAACACCTTTTATAGACGGTTACATATAATTATATTTAGGTGATCTTTAGATTGACTCATATCCATATGTTCATTTCAAAATGAAGAAATATAAGGGACATTTGTCTTTTGTTTTTTTTTTTGGTTTTTCGCCCGATGTTCAGTACTTATATTGAACCCTGACTATATTCGGGCTGTGTAGGGCCCCATTCGGGGTGAATCGCTCCCTACCAAGATTTTTCCATCGGAGACCTCTAGTTAAAGGAAAAGCAGTTTCATCCAGTGCATCACATCCTTTGGTGGTAATATAGGGACATATTGCCCCACTTCATTAATTATTTTAAGAAACTAAGACAATTTTTTTTTTTTTTTTTTGTTCAGAGTGGAGGGCCATTTTGGAAGGTGTTATTAGGGAGAAGAGATGGATTAGCTGCTAATTTTTCTGGATCAAATACTGCACTTCCAGCTCCATTTGATCCTCTCAATACTATCATTTCGAAGTTTGATGCTGTTGGATTAAATGTAACAGATGTTGTGAGCCTATCAGGTAAATACACATATGGTAATTATTGGTATTTATACAAAAATATCTATATGGATTTAACTTATATGTACTAATAGTGTAAATAATTAATTTTTACATTATTAATGTACCTAACCTTTTATAGCATGTAACCTTTTCCGACTTGCTAATTCTATAGATGGATTTATAATTATTTTTTTAAGTAACCTGATAATGTATACATCTATAAATTGATAGTGTAAAAGAATTTTTAAGCAATCAGGTTATTTAACAGATACATGTAGCTACTCATAATAAGTGGAGCTAGATATATACTTAGAATTTACTAACAGTGTAAATAATTAATTTTTTACATTATTAGTGTATCTAACCTTTTGTAGCATGTAACCATTCTTATTTTCTAACTTACTAATCCCATTTTCGTAGACGAAACTTGTAGTTATCTGTTTTAAATGACTTGATAATATATAGTACATAAATTAAATCCTTGTAAAACATAACTACCCATAATAATAACATATATTGTAAAAGAATTTTAGGCAATCAGGTCATCTAACATATACACATAACTACTCATAATAAGTGGAACTTGATTTATACTTAGATAATATAACAAACAACATGTTAACTACTCATAATAATAACAGATACACGTAATTACTCACAATAAGTGGAACTAAATTTATACTTAGAATATAAAATAAACAACATGTTAACGGCAAGTTAAAAGCTTTAAATGTACAAACTGTCAGTGTACATAAATTAAATCCTTTTATAAAACATAATGGTAGATGGTCATTTATTAAACTTTATGCAAGGTTTCCACTAACCATTTTGAGTGTTTGAATATATATATGTAGGTGCTCATACAATTGGATTAGCAAAGTGTGCAACCTTTGACAACAGATTAAGAAATTTCAGTGGCACAGGTGCACCAGACCCAACCTTAGACACAACATTAGTCAGTGAACTGCAAAATTTGTGTCCATTGACAAGTGATGGAAATAACACAGCTCCACTTGATAGGAATTCCACAGACTTATTTGACAATCATTATTTCAAGAATTTAATCAATGGAAGAGGCCTTCTTGAATCAGATCAAGTCTTGTTCTCTAGTGATGATGCTATACAAACAACTAAAACACTTGTTGAAACTTATAGTAATAGCTCTAAGTTTTTCTTTAGTGACTTTGTTAATTCTATGATTAAGATGGGAAATATTAGCCCTCTGGTTGGATCAGATGGTGAAATCAGAAAGAACTGTAGGGTCGTTAATTCGAATAATTAGTAGTAAACACCCCATCAGACTGAGTGTTGGTTTGATTAAGAAAAAATAGTTAGTACGTAGTATAAGTTGTACTATGATTTCTTGCTTGTGGGGAAAATATAATAATCTACTTTGTGAAAAAATTGTACTCATAATTTTTTTCAACTTCTTTTATGTGTATTGTTGCGAAAGATCGTGGGTTAACTAGTAGTATACAATTACATGCAAAGCAAATAGAAAAAAAAAATAACGCAAATATTAATAATGAGGTTTAGTTAAGCCTAATTGTCGGGACAGAAGCATAAAGACTTTTCCATTATGAATGAGAAGAATGCATAATACAATATATAGAAATCTCAACTAAAACTTCATGTAAATCACAAATAGGCCCAAACTTGTAAGAGAAAGATTTTTCCAATATTTACCTATTATTTCTCACTCATTTATATCATCTACATTCATTAATTAACATCAGTAATGAACCTTATTTTTAGCATGACAATTATTAGCTCAATAGTTTATTTTGAAAAGAAAGTTAAAACTCACTTTGGAAGCAAACGTCTAGCAAGTTCTTCAACTTTACGAACCATACCCCATACTTCAAATCAGAGATAATTTTATTCATGGTCATTGAATTTTTGGGTTTGTTACCCAAAAGTCATTTTTTTTTTGTTACGTAAAAATCATTCTAACTCTGTATTCATTACACAAAAGTTACTTTTCTTTCTTTTGTTACACAAAAATCATTTTACTTTGCTCTAGTTATCACAAAAGTCACATCGTTACTTGAAAAGTCTATTATGCCCTTAATATTATATAAACCTTCATATTTATGTAATAACTTCTATATTATATACTATATAATATATTTTTAACTATTTATTTTACTTATAAATAAAATGACTTAATATTATTTTCTTTATTAATTTTATAATATATTCATATATTTAATTTTTTCTTAACTTTAATTTTCAAGATATATTAGTAGCGTTATAAAACAACTTTTTTTAGTAATTCTTTTTTTTTTTAATTTAATTGACCGACCAAAGTTGGTCGGTAATTTCTGTCACACCTCCTTTTTACGTCCCCGCGAGGGGTGAAGGAGTTTTTCCATTTAAAGGACAATCGAAACGGGATTTGTTTATTTATTTCAGAGTCACCACTTGGGAGTTTTAGAGTGTCCCAAGTCACCAATTTAATCCCGAATCGAGGAAAACAATGACTCTGTATTACAGTCCGCGAACCAGAAATCCGGACAAGGAATTCTGTTAACCCGGGAGAAGGTGTTAGGCATTCCCGAGTTCCGTGGTTCTAGAACGGTCGCTCAACTGTCATATTCGGCTTGTTTATCTGATTTTATACAATTATGAGCTCATGTGCCAGTTTTAACTCTTTACCGCTTTTATTTAATGTGTATTTATTTAAGAGAAAGTGAACGTCATTTAAAGCGTGCTTTCGGATCGCGTCACATGAAATGCACCCGCAATCCTAAGCACACTCTATCCAACGTTTTGGGATTTGATCTGGGTCGCATGAAATGCACACCCGAGTTTAAGAAGGTAATTTTATTAGAGTCGCATCTAAAGAGGCTAACGTGTTCGTATCTTTTGGGAGGGTTGTGACATCCACTGAACGACCCTTCCCGATTTTTCTAAATATTTTTAAGCCTTTATTGGGGGCCCCGCAAATTTGCATTTTTTATTTTGGGCGAGGCTCGTCCCATTTTTTTTTAAGGATAACCCTAGAAGTAACCATATTTTCTAATTTTTGTCTCTAAAGAAAAGAAAGGATCCTAATTGATTACTATTAAAACTTGGGCTTCAAGTTCAAGTCTGGGCTCAAACAAAAGGAAGGACCTTTTAGCTTGGACCCGCTACTTAACTCAAAAACCCGAGTTTACATTACTGCTAAGCTTTGAATCACCACTATCCGTTCATTCTTGGGCCCAAAGAGCCCAAACCATGCTATTGGTGCATGTTTTAATTCTCAATAGCCACAGACATCGGGCCCAAAGTTGGCCCAAGTCACACAATTCTCATTAATACGCATGGATTAAGTAACGCAAAATAGTCCAACTAGTTGTATATGCCTAATCCAAACAGATTTCCGATCTGAACCATTAACTAAAATCAATTACACTTATATGTTAAGAACCAACATGCGGACATGACTTACTGCAGTTCNCCCAAAGTTGGCCCAAGTCACACAATCCTCATTAATACGCGCAAAATAGTCCAACTAGTTGTATATGCCTAATCCAAACAGATTTCCGATCTGAACCATTAACTAAAATCAATTACACTTATATGTTAAGAACCAACATGCGGACATGACTTACTGCAGTTCAGTATGGATTCAGCTTGAATATAAAACCTGATTTTAAATTCAAAATGATACTTCAACTATTTCTGGTTCTCTTTTACAAGCGAAATTAAATCTAAACTAAAAATACTAGCTATGTATAAATTTTAACTAGACGACTCCAAGCTTAAACAATCCAAAACAATGGCTAAGTGATGCGCAGGCATTACATGATCAACGCAAGCTCAACCAAAATAAACTGCTAACTCTACATTTATTGCTTCCAGAAACACTTCTAATGAGTTTAACAGTCTACCATTTGTCAATTAGTAATTCAATACAGCCCCAAAATGAACATGAATATCTAATCGAATATTTAAAGCTACAACAACTTTCAACACATTCCTTTGAACATATGGCAATTCATTGTTATTGATTTTCCAAATCACTTATACATTTGAACCAAGTCTCCACACCATTTTGGGATAGGAAAGTGTACCTGGTAGAAGAACAGAGATACAGTAGAACAGAAGTCAGCAGTAGTAGTAGTAGTAGTACAACAGCAGATTCAGCACAACACAGCAGCAACCAAAATAGCCCAGCAATGGATTAAGACCCAACAGTGGCTTCAGAAAAACACCATACAACAATACTAAATGCAACAGAAATTCCCAGCATGCGACCCCAGTACCCAAACAGCAATATAAACCACCACAGTATGACCCAAACTTGAGTTTGCAACAAGAGATAGACCAACAGACTCAAAAGACCTAACAAAAACAACACCAACTGCAGTCCTGAGGTTCGAGGATGCAGCAGAAGGGACCTCTTTTATCCCTCAAACTAACTCTTTTAACTATGGAAAATCAGTTCAACTTTTAGCCTGTTTCTGACTTGTGAAGGTTCAGAAAAACCAACAGCTAAGAGTTTTTAAAACTTTTGAAATCTTAGTGTTTTTCCTCTCAAAATCAGTCCCTCCTTAAAACTAGTTTTTTTTCTTTTTCCTCCAGAATAAATCCTCTCGACCTTCCTCCTCAAAAATGTCCTAAATGAGCCTGTTTATAGGCCAGAAATGGCAAGCCCCCAGGCTGCCTTCCCCTCTGCCCATACCCCCTTAAACTAATCGAAATGCACATCCTCCTGACAGCCCTCTCATGTGTTTTTGTACCCAGGAGGTATGAGGAGACTATAATATTCAATTACCCCATGCTATCAAGTTTTGTTCCCCACTATTGTATTAGTTTAATCATATTTCAGTACCCTACTGTCAGCCCAACTTAAACTAACCATTTTCTGATCTTTTCAAACCCCAAAATACCCCTTTTAACCCCTGGTTATTACTGTTTTAACCTAAGCTTCAGCAACCTAATGTTTGAACTTTTGGAAGTTCAAACTCAACACCTGCCCAAGACTGACTTCTAACCATTTCTAATTGCACTGCAGCTACAAACCATTCGCAGATAATTTCAAACAATCAACTAAACTACAGTGGTTCAATCAATCATGTGAGGCTTATCAGAATCAGAACATTTGAACATTCATCCCTGTACAACTAATCGACGATGTTTATCTAATCGACTACACTAATTATAACATAGAACAATTAGTCGATAAAAAAATAACGCGAATAGGGCCCAAAATGGCTTCAGACAGCTTGGCACAAAACAGGGGAACAACATGAATGAAACACTCGACGACATTGATCAAATCGAGTATGTATCCTACTACACGCATTTAACAATGGACAGAAGAATAATCGACCAAACAAAAAAGTCTTACGAAGATGGAGAAAATTGAAAGAAAACATCAGTAAAATCAACAAACTAACTAAACATGTTAACAAATACAAACATCATTCAAACAAAAACAGAAAAGAAAAAGAAAACTCACTCTGGAAGCTCAACAACAAACGACCCAAGCTTTGACTGGATTTGACCATTTGAGGTCGAACGGACTTTAATCGAGGTGTTCTCAACCGAGAACACATCGATTAAGGTCCATTAGACCCCAACCCTCCATTTAAACTGGCCGGATCCCCAAAGTTCTTGTGTTCTAGGGTTTACACGGTCTGATTTGGGGCTTGAGGGTTTGTGGGTAGATTCGGACCAAACCAAGCTTGGTTTAGTCACGAGTGAAGCCAGGGTAGTGACCTGTGTGAATTTGGGGTGGGTTGGTGTAGATCGGGGTTTTGCTCGAACCTTCAAATGAAGATTCGAGACGATGGGGAATGATTCGAGGCAAGCTGCTAACGGATTCGTGTTCAGGGTGGTTGGGTGCATCAGGGGTGTTATTTTGGTGGTCACCGGCGTCGTGGTTGCCGGGTTTACGGTGAGAGTGTATGGTGGTGTCTAGGGTTTGGAACGGGGGGTTTGGATTCGTCTCTGGGACGATGGTGCACAGTAGGCGAGGGGGGGTTTGGTTTGGAGGCATGGGTAAAGGGGTGAGGCCTTATATACGGAGGGGGAAAATAGATCCTGGCTGTTGGATCAGGGGAAATTGAGGGCCAGGATCCCTTCACTTAAAGGGAACGGTGCCGTTTTGATTGAGTGGGTCGGGCTCAGACGGGGATGGGTCGGGTCAAGTCAATGGACCTAGGAGTGTGTTTTGAGCCGTTGGATTGATGTGGATTAAAGGGCTACGATTGGTTGTTCTTGAAACGACGTAGTTCTGATATCAAACTACGTTGTTTGATGGCTTGGGAGACGAGTCTCTTGGACCGGCTGACTTGGGCTAGTTTTTTAGTGACTTTGGGCCTGAATTTATTTTGGTTTCACTCGGCCCAATCCTATTTTCCTTGACACTTCACCCCTTTTCCTTCTTTCTTTAGTTACCAAAAATTAAACAAAAATCCTAAATAAATTGTA